AAGAGGCCCCAAACCCAAGCAAAATTGGGAAGCTTTCTCCAAGGCAGAGGCCGCTCCCTCGGGCCCACGGGCGCCGCGGCGGGGCGGCGCTGGGGGCGGGCGGAGGCGCGGGCCGGGAGCGCAGCGGGCGCAGGGCAGCGGGCGCAGCGCGGCCCGGCCATGGGCGCTGAGGCGGGCGGCCCGCGGGACCCCGCGCCCGGCCAGCAGCTCCGCGCCCTCTTCTACGCGCTGCCGCCCGCAGAGAGCTCCTTCCGCACGGTGGAGGAGGTGCCCGACTACGTAGAGAAGGTGAGAGTCCCCTCCTTTCCCACCCTGGCTGCATCTCTCGCCCTTCCCTCGCCCACCTGCGCCTGTTTCCGAAAGCCACGGGCGGCTCGCAGAAACCACGTCCGCGAAAGGGCACCTCAGTTACGATAAAACAGCCTTTCTCTCATGGGCTTTTCGCCTGTAAGCTGCCAGTGTAACCCTCTGTGTTCATGTATTTAAATGATGATTTCTCCTGGTACCAAGAGCAGGGAAGCACCCAGATATGTGAGGCTTGATGCTAACATTATATCCAGCAGCACGGATAAGATGAACAGTGACAGCAAACTGAACTGAGGAAACAAGTATGGTACTGTGTTTGGCTTTTATGGTTCTTAAAGCAAGCAAAAAGTCAGGTCTCTCTTGCCCTTAAGTCACGCTCAGCCAAAGACAGAAAAATAAAAGGTTTCTAATTAAAATAAAAAATAAAGATTGTTTAAGAGAATTTAGAACAAATATTTGTGCTGGGACGGTGCTGTGTCCTAAATATCCAAGGCAAGGGTACAGAGGTCGTGGATGAGAACTCCCTTGTCAGCAGGCAGCAGCATATCCTTCCCTCCCGTCCCTCCCTGCCACGTTATTCACTTCCAAGAAGATACCTTTGCTCCCTTCTGGCCTACCTGCTGCTCATATCTTGATTGTCAGCTCCTTCTGAACCCAGATCAATGTCAGCTGTTCACAGAGACAGCACATAAACACTATTTTGCCCTTGTCGAAGTAAATTCAGCCCAGCTTCAATAAAGAGGTGCACTTTTTACATGGGTTTTGGTAGTTCTGACTAGCTCCTCTGCCAGGTATACCTTGGACTGCTGTGCAGCAGCTGCTGGCAGACTGCAGTGGTGGTGTCATGGACTGTGCAGAGCAGTGCAGCGCCGTCAGCAGCTTTCTGGGAGTTGTAGTATACAGCAGTCCTTCACTGAGGGATGTTATCAGCAAAGGTAAACCCGCTTGTGTAAGGTAAGCAGAAAGCTGCTGCAAGCCCAGCCTGTGTGTGCAGTGTCTGGTCAATTGACTGCTGTCCTCAGAGGTGTTTTGCAACTAAGCTATAGCACCATGATTAAGGAGGATCGATGGTTTTGCCTAGTCAGCTGATCTCTCCTTCCAGCTCTCTCTACTGTCTCATCCCTTTTACTATTCCCACATTTCCAATGGAGTATTGTTCACTTTCTTGTCTGCAACAAACCTTAACATCCTTGAGTTTTCTTCTCCCTTGTGCAATATTCAGGTCAGACATTAGCCAAACCTGGAATTTCTTTTACTAGACACACAGTCATAAGTCTGTGAAAGGATTCTTAATACTTTGAGTTACGAAAGCGCCTGCAGGCTTCTGCTGTTGTAGAGCAGTGTTGTGATAAGCTCAAAAAGGATTATTTCTCACAAGAAAAAAAGCAGTATTAAAAAAAGGTTTCACATTACTGTTATACTTTTCTTAAATTCCTATCTTAGGTTATCTGTGCTAGATTTCCCTCCTGACAGTGCATTTGTTGCTAGAACAGGTCTTTTGATACTTGTCTCAGTGGGCATATAAAAGTATTTTTGCGCCATAACTGTTATAATTCTTTGGCTTTGGCCTGAGCTTAGGCCTCTTCTGGCCTTGTTTCTGGGCAGATGGCAGCTGTCTACAGTCCCTCTCCAGCTGCTGTTCTTGACTGTTGAGGGAGCAATTACATGAGCAGTATATATATTGGATTCATCAGCAACAGATTTAACAGTGACCTGATGAGCCTTTCAAGGAGGTTTTGGGAATGCTAAAGAAGTGGATATCTGAACTCAATTCAACACATAACAAAAAAAAAATTCTAGTGTAGAGCTGGTAACAAATGAAGGCCTCAGCTCAAATAATTCACTCTAAAAGACAACAATGTTGATGTGTGTGTGAAATAAACTACTGATTACATTAGTGTCTCTAAATGGTGTGGGATTTTTTCTTTATTTTTTTTTTTCTGGGACACTGTAGTGGAATTTGCATCTCAGATCTATGATCACTTGGGTATCAGATGGATGAAAATATTTCTAGGACATTCGATGAGATGGCTATAGCTGTGGGGATAGGCAGCTTCCAACATGACAGGTAGCAGAACCTCCAAATTCACCCAAATATTCATGGGTTTAGCAATCTGCAAAATTGAGCTAGTTGGTTTGCAAAACACGGGCAATTCACAGGAGTGGTCCCTTTGAGTTAGAGTCACCTGTGCTGTTACATCTGGGTAGGAAATGACAGCAGGGGGTGAAGCAGCTCTGGTTCTGAGAACAGAATAGTCAGCTTAACTTGTGCAGTGTATTTTCTGTCCCTGGTTACACTGCTTCCATTTTCAGAAGTAATGGTCCTTTCACTATTGCGCTGCATATTGGCAGAGCTGTATGTAGAGGCCTCAAGTCCTGTTTGAAACATAAGCTGATCAGCTGCTACCAGTGACAGCAGCAAAGCTCTGCAGCAGTGCCCAGGGAGATGTCACCCTTTCAACAAATCTTCAGAACTCTGGGAAAAGGGGTGTGAATCTTGGGTAATCATCATAGAATTTATTTTTATAAGACTTTTTGTCATGCAAAATTCAAATCCCTTAATTTTTAATTTTTCTGTATTTCTGGGAAGTATGTCAATTTTCTTTCTCCCAGACAGGATGTACTGATGCTTGCCCATTCATTTTAAGAGCATCCTCTCTTCTATGGGTGTAAGATTAGGCTCTGCATGCTCTGTTGGTTGGTTTTTGGTTGGGATTTTTTTGGTTTTTTTTTTTAATTCTCTCACAATCTACAGATGGGCAGGTGGAATGATTATTCTGTTTTTCCAAATGTAGTTTTCATGAACCATAAATTTGCTTTGTACCTTGCTATGGTCTGAAATTATCACTTCTGCTCTGTAAAGACTTCCATGAGTCAGACTTCTGAAGAGACAGTCCTTCTGCTGAGAACTCAAAAATGAAAGCTTTAATAATCACTGTTTTCCTTTTTGATTTACTCTCTTGAGAGCCTAAAGAATAAGTTCACATTTAAATTCAATTCACATTTTAGAATTTGCTTCTAAATAATGAGGCATAGAACCTTCATATTTAGTTTTACTTGAAAGTTGAGATTCTTATATTATAAAGGTCTGGGACTTTAAGGAAACAAAAACTGTTTCAAAAATTGCAGTAAAACTGTGAGTATATGCATTTCAATGTAGAATATTATTCTTTGCAACAGTATAATGTGGAAACTGATTTTAAATGGTCCTTTGCATTCTGTAGAGTTGATTACTTAAAATGGAACCCTCTTACACAGTACTCAGAGTAAGGCTTTCATGTTATGGATCAGTTATTCAGCTAAAACCACAAGCTCATGCAAATCTCCATTGAGTATTTCTGCTGTTGGGTGAAGAGAAAAAACCTGGAAACAGAGAGAGAGTAAAACATTTGTGGGCCAGAAGATATCAAAAGGATCTATCTTATGTCACTGACCTGTGATGTCAACAGTGGCTATTTCTTAACTTTGTGGCATTTTATTTTTAGAGACAACCCTTGAAACAGTTGTAGAGATAGCCATCCTCCTTAGATGTCTTCATTGTCGTTTTAACTTAAAAAAAAAGAGAAAAAAAACAGGAAAAAAGAAAATTAGTGGTTAGACTAATGAGATTTTATCTCTGTCTCCTTTTTTTCTGAATTATTTGCATTCTTCTTCTGTTGAGTTACATCTCATCCTTACACTGTGGGCAGTTTGGGTCAGGGAATGCCTTTTCATTCTCCATAAAAATAGCTGTCATAGTTATATCATAGTTATATCATAAATAATACATCCTAGCCTAGATGCAGTTGATCCCATTGATCTACTTTTGGACCAAGCTTAATGAAGGTATGTGAGAGAGATGTAATAATTTCTTAGATAGTAAGGGGTATGCCATAAATCTTTCCTTTTATAATCTCCTTGATGAGCAGGAGGATAAGGATGTGTGAATGTTTCTTGAGCCTCCTAGCTATGACACTCCTCTTTTGTGAGTCAAAAAGTTGCGCCAACTGCTTGGCTGTTTCATCGCTTCACGGTGGGAGGAAAATGCTTAATGAAATCAATAAGACAGAAATTATAATAGTGTACATTAATATAAAGTCAAGTATTTCAACTGTTTCAGAGGTTGCTAGGTAAAATGAATCATCACATGGAATACAGACATTGTACATTTCCTATTAACTGTTTTTATTTCATGAATAAAGCACTTCACTTTCTCTGTTCTGAGCCCATTCAATTTGTTCTGCAGCTTCTGCTGTTCCATACCTTAAAATTCCTTATAGTCTGTGCTAGAACTGCCTTCTAATATTGTCATAAAGTGTTTTGTAGTTTTTTGTATTAAATCTCTCTTTTCTCTGCTGCAGTGTACCTCTATGGTCATCAACCTTTGTTTGCTAAATTAGGAATCTATTATTTGATTATATCAGTTAGGAAAAGTACATTAAAAGTCTTATCTACGTAGAAATTAAATAGATATAGAGAGCAAAACAAGGAGTATTTATTTTTTCCTAGTATGTTTAATTGGTTCCAAATGGAAGGTTTTAGGGTTTCCTTTTATTATTCTCTTTATAATATTTCTTATTATTATATTATTTCTTACTTATGCCAAATTTTGTAAGATTTGCCACATTGGTTTTCTTGGGTGCTCTTTAGGCTTTATGGCCTTTATAGGTCTTCCCTTTCTTTCTAGTTTTTTATATCATCAGTTGGTGCCTATCAGAAACAAGCTTTTAGATGCCTAAAATGCTGTTACAGAGTAAGCTAGGCACCTAAATTAAAAAGTGTCATGTTGGTATTAAGCTCTGTCCATCTGTTATTGTAACCTAACCCTATGCTGCTGAAGTTTATGAACTTCCACATTTTCTAGACGTTATAAATCTCTTGCTGTTTGCATGGTTTGAATCATCCAATTCTTCCTGGACTGAGCAATCTGGTCTGTATCCATCTTAGTCTCTTTATTGTTCCAGCCTAGTAGGAATTCCCAGATCATATCTCACTTGGCAACAAAAATGAACGCCCTCCAAAATGCAATGGTATTTGCAGAGACAACATGCTTCTATTAAAGTGTTGTATGGGCAGGGGCAGCCTCTGTTCTACAGCAGTGCAGTTTGGAGGGTTCCAGGCAGGGAAGCTGTAGGTGTTTGCAGGCCATTTGAAGAGAGGAGAAGCAGCAGAAAACTTACAGGGCAAGTATGTGTGGTGCATCCCAAAGTTTCTTTTGCCCTGCAAAACATGGTGGGAATTTTATGCCTTCATAAAACTAAAAAGCAGTTGTCTAAATGTCTCAAAGGTTACCTGAAAGTTTTCTTCAGAGCAAGGGAGGCTGTTGAAGGAACATTTGCTTGCACAGAGATCTGATAACTCCTTCCCATTTTCCTTGCCACAGACCTATATTTTGGTGGTGATGGCTAAAACACTGCTGCTGCCTCATTCTTTCTACATGTGAAGTGCAAGGACTGTTAGTACAGTGTTAATAAAAAAAAAAAATGCTCTACGACTTGCTGTTACTCAAGCCTTTTTCTTGTTGCCTGAGATGATAAAAATTTGAGAACAGGTCTGTCAGTCCTCACCAGTTACAACTTTCACTAATGAGTGCTGTTGCTCTGCATTTTCAGCTTGCTAGTTGATCAGGGATAGAAGATGGACAGTGAGAATTGAATCCCAGACTAAAGCAATGTTGTGAGTGAGAAATTTTTCAGTCTTCCTCATCATTATACTTTTCTGCAGAAAGGCAGAGAACTATTTTGCAGTCAGTATAATCCCAAAGAAAGAGGGGAACATTGTATCATTGTCACTTGGTCTGGGAAGAGAAGAGAGTATTGCCCAAATTGGCAAGGGCTGCATAGATACTGGGTTCACCGATGAAAGCACATACAGAACTGTTGTCTGCCGTGAAAAGCATGGCAATAGAAATGCCAAGTAGAAAGAAACACACTTTACTATATCTTTCAGATAATAATGTTGGATGCCAAATTCAGTGGCTGAAAACAGTCAAAAAACTTCATACAATATCAAATCCAAACCAGATTCTGTTCTAGTTTGTGGTTGGAGGAGTCGCCACAAATATTGGTGCTCTCACTGATTTACTTAAATGTGAGAAATATTAGTTTGGAAAGACTTTTACATTTTGTTCTGATAATGTTTGAATTTATGTGCAGAATATACAAAAGAAAACACTGTGGGAGGAGGTTATTGCAATAGATTTATGCTGGTGTTGTGGATTAAATGGTAGCCTTGGTTGTTCTGATTTTTAAGGACCATGTTATGAGCTTTATTACAGAAGTAGCTACTAAAGTGACTGCCAATCTGAGAAGCATCTCACAGCATTAAGTGCTATTAGGAAAAGTGTATCTAATTTTGTTTTGTTGTGATTTTTTTTTTCAAACTATTTTTAGAGTATCCCATTCTTCATTACTTTTATTGGGCTGGAGTTTGCTGTCAGCTGGATTCAGAAGCGTAAGCTGCCGGGTCGGATCAATGATGGCATAAGTTCTCTTTCCTTAGGTATCCTGTCCCGACTACCAGAGTGAGTATATGAATACAATCTTGAGATTGTTTGGGTTTTAATCACTATGAAGGAAGAATATATAATTATGTATTGAAGTTGTTATTGCTAATCCAAAATTATTAAACAAGGCATCTGGACCTTTCTTTATGCAATTAAATTTTAGTGACATGTATAAAATCTTTCTAACCTGAAAGGCTAAATATGATTCTTACAGGGTGTTGTCCAGCTCCACATTACCAATTAATCATCAATTATATTAATCTGTATTGCTGTTGTGCAGCAAAACACCTTTTGCTGTTTCTGGGACTTCACCTGAGTTTACTATATCTTATGTTAGACTAGATTTTAGAATCTGTTTGGTTTTTTTTTTCATTAAAATACAAAAAGATAAAATAAAACCAACAAACCAAGTTTCTTGTTTTTGTTCGCCTTTAAAAATAAAACGGTGCATATAATCACATCAATAGAACTGTGAATATGCATGTGATCCAAAGTGCTTTGAACACAGTCATAATCTTACCCTTGACTTCAGTGGATTTTAATTCCTGAGGTAATTGTTGCAAACATGATCATATCATTCACTCTCTAATGTAGAGGCCGTAAGATTTACCTGAATTAGTTTGGTGAGCAGAGTTGTATTTTAAGGAAATAGCCACTGTGGATTAATGGTGAATCCCAGTGAAAAAATCCAGCAGATTCTTTTTATAAATTTCTCTAAGTGTTTTCCAGAAATTTTAGTTACTTGTAAGTAATATCATGGTTTAGATATGCCTTTGCATGATATGAGCTTCCAGATGATAGACTTTATTGCATATTTTCTTTTCAAATGGGGTTACATTTCTATTCCCTATGTATGAATTTGCAGGTGAACATCAAATTGTATATAATCTCTTCTTTAAAGGAAGAAAGGTTTTTATTATTTGAGATTTACTATATGGTGTATTTGCAAGCCTTTCAGTTATTCCTCCAGCTTTTTTTCAGAATCCTCTGCAGTTTTTCAGCCTTCTTAGTGTTGATGTCTCAAGTGCACTCCATATTTCAGAAATGACTACATCAGTGCCAAATAATGAAGTCATTTGTTCTCTATTTCTACTTGTTGTTCCTCCCTTTATATATCCCAGATCCTTTGAGCCATCTTTCATCCCTGAATACTTTCTTGGATTCTGTGGCTTACATTCCCCATTCATAGGCAACATGTTCTTATATTTGGCCACATAGAAATAGATGGATTGTACATTTGGTCCTCCTGAAGTAGCCTGAATCCATGAAAAATTGTCTTCGTTACCTAGAGGTCTCTGGTTTATGTCACTGCAAATTTTACCAGAAATCTTTTCTTTCAATCCAGATTCTTGATCAAATACATTAACAGTGCATAGCAACAACAACAAAAAATTATCCTTTCTGGCTAGTAGAACTCATTTTGTGAAATGTCTAAATCATCCTCTTTGTAATCCATTGATCATTTGCCATTTGGGTGATTTTTTTTAAGCTTTCTAATCAATACAATCTTTGGCAAGGTCCATTAGTTACAGACAGTTTCTGATTGATTGTATTAATTATCAGTAGTAAATACACCTGATGAAACCTTTTAAAGACACCCTCCAAAACTCTTCAAATATCTGAAAATGAGAGGCGTGAGCTTTCAATATGAGAAATACTCAATCATATGTCTTCAAACACAGTTATGTCTAAGTTGAGAATTTAATGAAGTTATTTTTACATCTAGTGTACCTATATTCAAATAATTTTTAATGAATTGTGAGCATGATCTTGAAGGAACAAAATTAAACCTTTCAATATGTTTTATAAATGAATTAAATATCAAAAAATGAGATTTGTGTGCAGCAACACACAACCCTCATAAAGGATTACTGTAGTCTGCATGAAGCCAATACTGAAATAGATCCAATGCCACTTCTTCAACTTAACCCAAATATTTTAAACTTGACAGGCATACCATGCTGAATATTTACCTTTATTCATCTGAAATATTCAGAACTGATTAAGTTAAACAAAGGGCCTGAGATACATGTAAAATAAGTTTGAATGGTTTTGCAAGTCCTTTTGGCTCTATTTTAATACTGAAACAATTGAGATACACTCATTCCCGGAAAAAATGCTTGCTAAGAAAACTAGTGTTGTGTGTGTGGAATGCAGTTTTGCAAGGTGCTGAGTACTTTTATTATTTTGGCACTCAGTCCTTTGCTGCAGAATTTGGCTTGCGGGCTATGCAGTTTTCTTTTGCAAGATTGTTTCAATTGAGTGAACCAAATGATCCTTAAGGACTCAAAAGTCTGAAGGGTCAGGCAAATCTCCAAGATCAGCACACCTATTTATTGTTACACCAGCACAAGAAGTCTCTTCCAGTTTGCTTGTGCAGCTCTCATGACTGGAAATACCAGACCTTCCTCAGCAGTTCTTTCCAAAGAAAAGTCCTATAATACTTTTAGCTTTTTGGCTGAATGTGAAAGAAGCAGGGAAAATACAAACTTCCTAAATTATTTAATCTCATGTTAATATCGCAGTTCTAATGGTGACTGCTTAGTGTAACACCTCTTTCATAAGTAAGAGGAGTTGTGAATAACAGACTGGCTACAAAAAAAGAAAAAAAGAAAAAAAAGAACACTTTATCCTTCTGTCTTTTGCTTCCATGGTGTGAAAGATCTGGGTCAGACCAAAAAAGGGGGAAAAATAGCACAGGCAAAAATCTGTTGCTAAGATTTTCACTTCAGTCTGTCCCTTTCAGGAAGAAAAAAGGTAGGGAAAGTTGACAGAAACTGCTAAAACAATATTTCAGCAGAGCCCACAGCATCAGGGGAAATAGTAGTGCAAATCATTAACAGCTGAAGGTTAGATTAACACACCATTGATTGTATCCTCTCCCAGGGACTAATTTTCATTTTCTCAACTAGCAGCAATGGTTTGCCACTTCCTTAAAAAAATCTGTGGTTGGGTCTAAAATGGTGGCTTCAGTCTATTAGTTAAAATGAAGCTTCCAATGTGTCATTGCAAAGAGGTCTTTACATTTAATGGAAAAATTAGGAGTCACCAACCATAGTCAGCCATTAAGTATTTTTTTCCATTTCACAGTCTGTATAACAGAACTATTGCATGTCTTGGGGGCAAACAGTATTTATTTAGTGTTTCATACTTAAACTTTCTGTTGAGAAAGTGCAAGTCATATATTGTTGATACTTGTATGCCAAATGTTAAAAATGTAGGTGCAAGAGAAAAAGTCTACTCAGACAAGGCAATTGTTTTCAGGCTTATTAGACTCAACAGCATGCAGTAAGTTGAATGGTTTGTGCATACATATAATCTCTTGTAAAGTAGCCCATATATTTCTTAAATATAATTTTCTCTGCATTAATACATACTATGCATTCCTCTGCATACAGTATAAATTCCTCTGCATTTAGTATAAATACTAAATGTTGTATGGAATTAAAATTAATTTGGGAGAAACTTGTATTACTATGTTTACTCCCAGGATCCTAAATGTTAGTAAAAAAATTCTGAGAACTTTTATTCTAAATAAATAAATAAATAATGTTTCTAGCTAACCATTGCCAAGAGACTTTAAATGCTGCTTTAAAAATATTCTCCCAAGAGAAAGTTTATTTTGGGTATGAATATCCATTTTACAAGTATGTGCATTATTTCATATTGACCCATTTCTTCTTTTAAAGCAGCAGAACATAAATCAAAAAGTTTTTGGGGGATAACTGAGGTAGGTATGTTTTCAAACTAGTTGGGAAAGCATTTGTTCTTTATGGTCATGCTCAATTGCCAATTTTTAGTGTTCTGCTCTGCAACACAGTTGTAGAGTGTATGAGTGCCTATGTGTATAATGTCTGATACAGTTTGGTCAGTCTTCAATGAACTTCCCAATTTCTAAAGAGAATATTACAGTCTGTATAAATTATTTACCTTGATTTTTGAATCAAGAAGAAGTTGGAGTTCTCTGAGTTGTTGAACATGAGAATGGAATGAGTAAATGCTTTTTCATTAGGTCATGCTAGTAAGTATCTTAAGATATCTACACATTAGCAATAATTAAATCAAAGGAGTACAAATCCTGTTTCTGTTGTAGACCAGTGTATTCGGGTTTGTGCATCATCTGGATTTTAAATAATCTTCTTTTCAGAAGCTGCATTGAAGAGGCAGTTTTGTATACATTTTAGACCAGCAATACTCCCAAATGAAGCATCTTTGATTGACTGATACTTTTCGTTGCTCATTCCTCCCTCTGTGCCTTCAACGCTCTTTGGCCAGCATCAGCATTTGTGTTGCCCTGTGGTGAAGTGGTTTGGGAAGCAGGTTCAGTACCTCCCCATCACATTAACCCACATCAATTCTTACTATGTCTGCACAATCTTGTGCTAGAACAAGAAAAGGGATTGGAAAAGAGCAAGCCAGGGTTATAGGACAAGAAACACTCAATGCTTTTGTAGCATTACTGAGTTATCTGCTCTATAACATATAAAATTGCAATCTGAAACCAAAGGTTTTCAGTCTTTAAGAGTAACAAAATGCAGAGCTGATTAGAATACACTCGCTTGGTTGGTGCAAGTTATTCACAACCTTTTGGAGTTAGGAGTGTCTTGACAGAAGAGAAAAAAGTAGCCTGCATGGATTTAACCACTTGAAGTATGTGCTGGTTTCCTGAAGTATCTATTAGATACATCATATGTGACTATAGATAATTATAATCTCATAAATTACTGATTATGTTTCTTAGAAGAAAATTTGATACATGCAGTTTCTCATAAATTATATTTTTACTCAAGACATATTAGGTACATTTTTACTTCACATCTGTTTGACTAAGATTTTGGACAGATGTTTGTTTAGAGCATGGTCAGATGTGTTGCTTCTGGTCCAGCTGCCCCCTTAGATCTGCCAACTTAACTGCACATTTAATTGCTCCCTAACCTGGTCCTGACAAAGCGATCTCACTAAAAGCAGAAACAAAAGCCTCCCAAGAACTATAAAAGAGGTGTTTAAGCTCAGCTGCA